CAGCCACCACGGATGCAGGAGCGCGGGGGACTGTGGGCAGCCACCACGGATGCAGGAGCGCGGGGGACTGTGGGCAGCCACCACGGATGCAGGAGTGCGGGGGACTGTGGGCAGCTTCGTCTGCATTTTCTCATTTGGTGCCGAGCGCACCGTACAGACTGCGCCACCTGCTCACCTGCTCGTCTCCAGGACTCTGTGGGGCCCAGGCTGCGTGGAGGCCAGATGTGGACCACTAGCACAGGAAGCTGCTCCCGTTCAGCAGGCTGTGGGGCCCGGAGGACGCTGCTGGCCTACCTGCCCTTGAGGGGTGTCCAGACCGAGAGGACTCCAGAGAGAAGAGGACTTGGGCTGCTCACCTCTGCTGGGATGGGGACGCCACCCCACACCCAGCTTGGCTTCAGCCACTGGGCCTGCCCTACCCTCCAGAGCCAGCCTGCTCCGTCTCCACGCCCCAGACCACACCACACTGCCCCCCGCTCTTCTCCTGACCCTCATGCCCTGTCTGTTCCCTCCCTCAGCAGGGTCCCCTGGCAGCCACCTCTCATCTTCTGCTCCTCTCCCACTCTCCGACGTTATTTGAGCTACCTCCAGGTCGGCATCTCTTCTCACTTCAAGTCCCAAGCCCCAAGAGCAGGGCCACACCTACTTCATCCTCTGCCTTGTCCCAGTAAGAGTGTCTGGTCTGTAATAGTTGCTCAATAAGTACTAAGTGAATCAATGCACACACTGGTCTCAGCAGCCCCCTGCATGGCCCACAGTCAGAGCTCAGGAAACATCTGACCACAGGCCTTTCCAGTAAAAGGCCTGACCAAGAGGAACCGCTGGGCCCTTCTCAAAGAGTCCCTTATGCTAATCAACTGAAGAGGAAGGCGTTGAGAGTGCAGGTGCAGACGAGGAACAACACTCTCTGGCCACGCGGCCCTGGCAGGACTCGGTGCCACGTGCAGCAGTTCTGCACCATTCGCTCTCGGCCCTGCTCCAGGCTGGGCTCTGGCAGACCCTCATTCAGACCCTCACTAGAGACCCCGTGGGCTTCTTCTGCACCCATCTGAGATGAAACCAAGAGCTCTGGTGTCTTGAGCAGATGTGGGCAACCTCTCCCATCCTAAGTCGACAGGCACGGT